CGTGCAAGGGGTTTTTTTTACTAGTGGGTACTCTTTCCTCCCCTGGGATTTGTCCCATGAGGTTGTCCTAGGAAGGTTTTAACAAGGCCACTGTACCATGTCGCTCTTTGTACGTCTGTGGTTTTATGAATGAATTCTCCTTTCTCCAAAAAAAAAAAAAACAGTATATATTCTATGACGAGCATGAACAAAGAGATGTAGAAGTTGATTATACCAAGATATCTAGTTTCCCAAATTGGACTTTGACAAAATCGGCAAGGGAAGCAATGCTTGCAGCGTCTGTTCCATCAAGCTGATGAAAAACCACAAGGTCTGAGAGGCCAAACTCTTTCAATTTGTCAACAGCTTCAAGACCCCTCTTCTCGTCTCTGGCCATTAACACAACTATGACCCCAATTAAAGCCAACTGCCTAAACCATCACAATAGGAGTAGAAGAAGTAAAGCCAACTGCCTAAACCATCACAATAGGAGTAGAAGAAGAAGATTCAGTGACATCTGACGTGGTGATAGATGGCGGCAGCAGTAGAAGATTAGACGATGACGACGACAGTAGGAGATATAAGACAGCACAGGTTTAGGTGTATAAGCTAGGTGCAGCGGAAATAGGTATTTTTCAGGATTAGGGTTTTGATGTTGTAGAGACGGATCGGAACCCGCTTTGATACCAACTCAAAATAATTAGGGTTTAAACTTATATGTTTATTCTTCTCCCAAGGAGGAATATATATACTACATACAGTGTAGGTACAAATAGGAAATATGTACAAAATCTCCTAATTCTACTCAAATTAGATAATTACAATAAAATATAAATTCTATTCCTAATAGGAATGTTGACTCACACCAACACCTAACGGTGGCAAATCCAACCCCTTTATTAGCTCCTATGACCACTGCATACCTGACAAAAAGAATAAGAAAAGGGCGTTATATATTGTTTGTGGCCAAGGGGTTGTGTATATATGAATCTTAAAAACAACAGGGAAGCAGTTTGGTAATACCTCTGGCTCTTTGCTGCTTCTGCCATTGTTGATGGGCTTTTTAGCTCTCTTATCTTATATTTGTACCCCTGCAAATACAATGTACATTGTTTTTATGGCCATTTTCTATTTGTATTGTTTCTTTCAAAGTATTCAACGATTTGTTTTTGGTTGCTAAATTTTGTCTTCTTTGTCTGTTCTTTCTTACTTAATTTTACTAAACAAGGCATGATACATGAATAGTCTACTACCATATTTGCCACCTTGTAGTTTGTGTCTCACTCAGTCAGGAGGACCAACCTCAACTCTTAGTCCAAGCTAAGTTAGAAAGTCCAACAAAAGTCAACCTTTGTTGTGGTCAATGTGTCAATATTACATTGAGATTTCAAAAGATAGTCTTGTACGATTGAATATTACAAGAACTTGAAAAAGGATCTTTCACTCTGTTACCATCAAAAGAAGAGACCAGAGGGACAACAATTTCAGCGGCTTCATCAATGGTGAAGATGCCAGCATTGAAGTGTAAGAATATTTTATAAATATTCTATGTGATCCACATGAAATGACTTATGTGGTAAATAAATTGTTTAATTAGTTTTATAAATATTTTTCAGAATAATTATATTGGTCAAATAAAGAGAAGTAGTTTCATATTTTATTACTGTGATGGGTGATAATTGATTATGGGCTTTACTAGGAAACAAGTCCCATCTCTGCCTATAATAGTGCACATACCCATCTTATGTACACCGATGAAAACATGTGTTAGGGTTTTCTAACGTGCAAAAGGATAGAAAGAGAGAAATCTATTTCCTCTACACTGATGGCTCGCTTACAGATCGCTCAAGAAAAATATCTTGATATAGTAGAAGACTAATCATTCAAGATATGTATGTAATTTAAGTCTAATTGAATTTCCACCTAATGCTATTGTGCAAAATCATGAAGTTCTAGATCTTAGGTCATGGATTGGGTCTTATGATTTTACCCAATATTAAGTTTACATGAACTTGAAATCTGTTTTGACAAATCCAGGGCATAGACAGTTGGCGCAGAGACTTGGGTACTTCTTGGCATCAAGGAGAAGAAAGTTCATATTTTCTCTCGGTCATAATTATTGGAAATGAGCCTCGACCAACCCACATAAGACCAAAATTGTTGTGCATCTAAACCAGACATTTGCTTTACTTAAGGTTCAAGTAATGTATTATTTGATTGCTAATGTATCAACATTTTATCAAGACTCAAAGACCTCTGTAACATGCACTAACCAGCTAATTAGGCAGCTAGGGTTTGTTCGGAAGTACATGTCATACGAAAGGAGCTCTTGGAATCATGTTATGGAGGCAAGAACTGTTCTACACAGATAATAGTGTCACTGTATTTAGAAACAAGCAGGTACAATTTAACTAGACTAGTCCACTGGATAAAAATATCTCCCCCTTATTAGTTAATTCTATAAAAATATCTTCAGGGTCCATAATGGTTCCATTAACCCCAGCATTGTTTCGAATATTTTAACATTTTCACAGCAAAAAAGTAAATAAATAACCTACTTGGTATTTAAAAAAAGTAAATATTTTTATTATTTTAACATCTTGTTTGATTGATGGAGATTTTTTAAAACGTGAGTTGGCAACTTAAGGGTTTGTTTGGTTGGTTTAATTTCTTATGTCTAATACAAATTTAAAAGTACATTATAATTAATTTGAATAAAATATTCCTTATCCCAATGAAATTAGGAAACAGGAAACTATATATACATATGTAGCGTGAGGCTTTTGTAAACACTAGCTACTGTGATTTAGGGTTTCCAAATTTTGCTATAATCTTTTCTCTTTCAGACAAGATGAAGTTTGTTTGCGATCAGGCTTTGAAGGAGCAGCAATGCGAGCGAGAGCCTCCTGTTGACGTTGACGTTGACAATGACGACTTTGGTGGACTCGCTTGCCCTCCGCTGGACGACCTTGAAGCTGTCTTCATCCTTGAGAGTGAAACCACGACTTTCGATCCCTCCAACTTGTTCGACGACATCAAACTTGATGAGCGCCGCTTGGCAATTCTCCAGAAGCCCAAGAAACCACCATCTCACGGCAAAGGCAAGGATTTGGAGACCCTCCGCTTGATGCTAAGCGCACCACCTGCATCTTCTTGTCAACAAAACCCAACAAAATCTGATGCTCATCATCAACAGCAAGACTGGGGTGATGAGGACAAGTTGGAGAATAGTAAGCGAAAGCTTCACCAAGGCTATCAAGAGTTCCAAAACAAGAGAAAGAAAATTCAACTTCTTGACGTCAAGAACTTGCCTTTGCCATCTAAGCCTCAGCGAGGCCGGGTTTTGAGCAAGACCAGTTCGAGGAAGTGCCCAGAGCCTTCTGATTTTTTGGAGAGCCAACAAAACCCTAAGGGGCCCACAAAATCTACTCATCATGATCTTCATCATCGGCAAGATTGGGGTGATGAAGAGAAGTTGGAGAACAGTAAGAGAAAGCTTCACCAAAGCTATCAAGAGTTGCAAAAGAAGAGAAAGAAAATTCAAATTCTGGACATCAAGAACTTGCCTATGCCGCCGAAGCCGCAACGAGGTCGGGTTTTGAACAAGAACAAGTTGTTGGCCAGTTCCAGGAAGTGCCAAGCCTTCTGATTTCTTGGAGAGCACGTGATCTTATTGTTTAGTTTATTCACTTCATTCATTAATTGTTTGTGATCAGTTTATGTAACACGAGTATTCATCAAAATAGAAACTCCCGTTCTTCAGGTCAATATGTAATTGACGCATTAAAAACATTAGTAATCAAATTTGGAGAACAATAAACCAATCTAGGGAAGATTTCTAAAGATAGAAAATTAATGAGCATGCATCCATTTTAGTTAACAAACAAACTTGTCACATCACTGATTTACATAAATTTTAACAATATACTTTGTTACATTGAAAATCCAAGATGCTGCCCCAACAAATGATATGCACAACTTGATCATCTTCAATCATGCACATGATACTTCAGACCGAACAAAGAAGAGGCCAGAAGGGCCATCACTGGGCAGCAATGCTAACTTCAGAACACTTGCAGCACCTTCTACAACGGACAAGATGCCGGTATTGAAGTTTATATCTGTCTTGACATAGCCAGGGCAGAGAGAATTGATGCGGAAGTTGGGGTATTTCTTGGCTAGAATCCTTGTTAATGCATTTATTGCTGCTTTTGAGACTATATGGAGGAAAAACAGGCCAGCCGTTGCTTTCAATAAAACCCTCCTTGAAGTCTTTTAGTAGCTGTGTCAATACCTCATCTACTCTCTCTTCTGTTAGGTAATCAGAATCACTTAAAATGCCTTTGACCCAATCACTTGGTATGTTCATAACTGGAGGAGTGGAATAAGTGCTTCAGCTGTTCTTTTAGTACCATAGTAATTTATTTGCAAGCATGAGAATGCATAATTTATTTTATTTATCAGCAAAACGCTTTAAAAACATTTATGCACAGATTGCAGAAATATTTCTCAGGAAGCTGAATACCGTGCTCTAGCCAATTGTGCAGCAGACATTGCTTGGATTAGACAGATAATGTGTGATTTGCATATGACACTGCCAGAGGCACCTATTATTCATAGTGATAATATGTCTGCATTGGCTCTTAGTGTCAATCCAGTTTTTCACTCTCGTATTAAACACTTGGACATCGATTATCATTTTGTTAGAGAACGAGTTCAATGTCGAGATCTGGTTGTGCAATATATTCCCACAGATGGTCAGGTTGCAGATATTCTTACCAAGGGCCTTCATAGTCCAGTGTTCATTCGACATCGTTCCAATCTCAGGCTAGGTCTGTACCCAGCTGAGATTGAGGGGGAATGTTAGCTGATGTTACTATTGACACGTGTCCTTGCTGAGGTGGCAAGTTTGTTAGCTCTTCACGTGCTTATTAGTGTGATTAGTTAGTCTGTTAAGCAGGTTAGCTTAGTAAAGAAGTCATCATTACACAGCTATATAAGCTTGGGACTGGTTCATTTCATTATGATGTAACAGATACTATTTCTGAGAATATACAGAGCTTTACCTTTCTCTCTTTTATCACTTCTTCTTCTCCATAGTTATCACCAAACTGGGTTTTGATGAACGCTGCCAAGGAAGCAACAGTAGCAGAGCTAGCCACATCAAGTTGATGAAAAACCACTTGGCCTGAGCGGCCAGACTCTTTGAGTTTCTCAACAGCTTCAAGACCCCTTTTCTCATCTCTAGAAGTTAAGACTACAGTGAACCCATTTGAGGCCAACTGCCTCACAGTTTCCAATCCTATGCCTTTGTTTGCTCCAGTAACAACAGCATACCTGAGAAAACAAAGACCCAAATACAAGTTTCTTTAACAATAAAAAAAAGAAGCAAGCCAAAAAGAAACAAAGCATAAAGGACCCTGAATTGCCACCTCTTTGTTGCTTCTGCCATTGAGTGGAGAGAGAGTATGAAAGTAAAGTAGTGTGAACACGGCGAAATAGAAACTATGCTCTTCAGGTCAATATGTAATTGACGCATTAAAAACATTAGTGACTAAAATATCGGGATGCTATTATTAATGCCATGCATACATGCAATCCTCATATTGAAAGTAGAAAAAACTTAAAAAGGATCTGTTGGTGGTTCCAAATTCCAATATACTTGGTTGCATTAAAAAAATAAGTTCAAGATGCTACCCAATCTTCAATCAAAGATCTGACACTACATTCTGAACAAAGAAGAAGCTTGAAGGGCCATCATTGGGCAACAATGCTAATTTCACAACCCTTGCTGCACCAAACTCACAAAACATAAGGCCAGCGCCATAGAAAGGCTTGTACGAGTTACCACATGTTCTAGTCAGTAACATTGGAGATATGAAAGAAGTAGCACAAGTTACGATAAATAATTAATGGACTGGCTGCTAGAACATGTAGTAAGCCGTTCAGCCTATCTATGATGCTAGTTTTTGTTTTGTCAGTTTGGTGAGCTTTTCGGGTGCCAAATTTGTTGTTGCTGGTCTAACATTTCCCGGAAGGACAATCTTATAAATAGAATTTGAAATAGAAGCCATATTGAGCTGGATGGTTAGTAGCATCAAGGGATTTTTTATAGCCCAAGAACATTCAAATGAAATGATCAAAAAGCACATCATGATTTCTACGCTTTGTTAGTTGGTTAGCATGCAGCCTATGTGCTGAGAAACTTTTGACTCAAAAACCAATCCCCATTGCACTGTTGTAGACTCAACAACCAATCATGATTTGTCTTAATCGCTGATCTATTACAATTCAGTTAGATTAGACAAAACTAATCCCAAATTGAACCAAATACAAAACAATGCTCAAGTTTTCTTTTTGTGGTTTTGGGTTAGAAAATAAGACTCAATTTATTCCAAAGTTCCAACCGAACACACCTGTTCAGAATTCCAACATTCTTATTGTTTATGCATATAATTCAGCCAACATATGAGATATAAAAACCATGTCCCGGGCCAGAAAGTGTGGTGGTCTGCTCAGTCAAATTTGTTTTTCCTCCTAGATTTTCCAATACCTTCCCTTTTAGGTTATGAATTTTGTTTTGTTTTTGTTCTTATTGTCACAATGCATTGTCCAGGCCCAGAAAGTGTTTACCTTTGTGTAACAAATGTAACAAGCTTTGGGATTGGATTGGATTGTACTAAAAAGAAAAGGAGGTGAGTGGTGGTAATGTAGAAACTGGCAGTGCAGTGCCAAAAAGGATGTCAGTTTCAGATTGCAGAGAGTCTCTAAGAAATGTGGTAGGACTTTGTCATAGAGCTACAAGGTCACATGACAGCCATGTGATCATTGAAGAAACAGGTTTTACATTTGACCTTCCAGTCAGCTTTATAATCAGATGTTCATATCTTCTTTTTTTTCTTCTTCTTCTTCTTTCCAGTGCAGGCGCAAAAATAATGGTTCCTCATTCAAAAGTCAGCAATATAATTGCTTCTAGTCTCATATGATCAAATGGGCAGCACGTGCCTTGTTGGAGTTCCTCAATTCCCTCAATCAGTACCCTTGTCTCTCACATCCATAGAGAGAGGTGAGAGATGAGAGATGAGAGAGAGAGAGAGAAAGAGAGGTCTAAATTTTCTTATTTCTATGTTACCTGCACGTTTTGGTACGGTGATATATAACTCTATATATATTTTCTGACATGCTTTGCTCATTGTTCTGCTGCATACAATTATTTCCTTCCTGGGTAAGCTGTATAGTAGTTTTTTTCTGTTCTTTTGCTCTTTGTTTTTTGCTTTGACTGGCTCTTGGAAGTGGTCAGAATTAAAAGGAAGAAAGAAAAAAGATTGACAACGTGCAACACTTATTCTTGTGGTGGGAGTGGGAGGTGCATATTTCCATTTCAGAACCCCAAGTTAATAATACTCAGCACAAAAATCAAGAAGCAAACATTCAATTCATTTCAATGAAGAAAGTAAAGAAATCCAATGTGATTTGAATGAATAAAAACAATGGCTGAGGAATATGAGCTTGAGGACAAATTAACAACCAAGCCATGAGGGAAACTCCTCAGCCCTTTTCCCTACAGGTCAGGAATCCAAGGTGACCCAATTGGGAGGAGATAACAGAGACCAATGTACATACATGCTTAGAGGCATGTGGTTTACTGGTTTTTTATGCTAATTATTTAGACTGTTTTTATGTACCCTCCAAACACATCTCTATCCAAAGATAGCTAAAACATTATCCCAATCCCATTGAAAAAAGAGGAAAAGGACTATCCAAGCACATCTAGCTAGCTTGTATTCTGTGAGATTCCACTACAAGTCTAAAATCAATTATGAAACCCTGTCAAAGCTTGTTTTATTTCTGTAATGAAGAATTTTTGTACAAATTCTTGGTAAGTTTTGGACTTCAGAACATTTCACATGATCAATCAATGTTATTCAACCACTTAACTCCATAGGAGATTAAATCACTTGCGTCTTTTCTTAATCAACGAAGAAGAGGGAATTCGAACTCTAATACGGAATTGCTGTCACTAAACAAATCATAACCTTTGAATGATTTAACAAAAAATGGGACTAAAAACAAAATGTGGGTCCAATTTAATTTATAGAGTTGCTGCTTATATTTGAAAACATGTTTAAGTGTATGTGAAAGCCTAGAAAGGGAGAGAGAGATGTCTCAACCCTCTTCCTTCATGAAACAAGCAAAGAAATCTATGAGCTGATCCTTGAAATGGTTCTGACACTTAAGATTTTTTGTGTCTGAAATTTGCTTAGTTTATTTATCCGTACTCTTACAATCATGAGGAGACATTAATTCTAAGTTCCCAGGAGCAAGCACCCTACACCTTATCACCAATGCCAAATTTTAACCAGCACTTGTTTCAATCAAGAAAATAATGAAAACAAAAACAAGAAAGATCAATTGGGTTTGTGGTGCCAGTACAAACAAGTAGACTAGATCAGTACAAACAAGTAAACAAAAACAAAAACCTATTTTTTGTCTTTCACTTTTCTATCCCATAGACTACATTTTTTTATTTTCCAAGCAAGTAGACTAGATCAGTTTTTCGTTTTCGTTAGTATACATTTAATTTCTTACACTTTTCATTACGGTGTTTTAAGATTCAAGTTTATTGCTTTACTTTTAATTGTTATCGAATTTTCTTTAAGTTTAATTTAATTTCAGATTGTTTTATTTTATCGCCTTTATCATTCATATAGTTCTTGTTTTGTTCTTACTCAAAATTTTGTTTTATTTTTACATTTACTTTCTTGTTCTTTAGTTTAATTGCTTTTTAATTTAATTTGCATCATTATCAATAAATCCCAAAAAATCTTAAAAATACCCATACGAATCCTGACCATCCTTGACCCGAGGAAGTGAAAGAACCTTGGCCAAGAGGAGGTTCCTTGCTTGGCCGATCAGTCGGCTGGTTAAAAGTTAGACGCGTGAACACAATAATCCAACTTTTTCCATTCAAGCCATTTAATGGCTTGGAGGTGGCACGCCTAAGAAAAGAAGGACCAAAAGTTCCTTTCGTCGGCCACCTCGGCCGAAAAACATTTGGCTATTTTATTTTTTTATTTATTTTGTTGAGGACCTTTTCTATAACCCTTTCTATTGAGAAAACAAGTTTGAGTTGAAATTTGTCGTGTCTTTTGTTTTTGTTTTTTTTTTTTTCGGTGTCAAAGTTAGAAAAGGGAAGGGGGAAAACTCATATAAAGAAGGACCATGGGTAGTTGAATCCAGGACCAATTGAGAGCACACCAAAGGCATAGACCAATTCAACTCACACCTCATTGAAATATTAAAACAAATAGGCCAATTCAACTCACGCCTCATTCAAATATTAGAACAAATTTATAGTCTCCATGAGTTGTGTCCATTTTAGTGTCTTTGTTTGGATTGAGCCGCATGGTGGCTCTTCTATGGATTTGTGGGCTTGGGTTGACTTGGGTTAAATTAATTAATCAAAAGATGAGCCTTGGGCTCTATGATTTAATTGAATGGGTCTCTTTCCCTATACAATACAAAAATAATGGGATTTCATTGGTACAATATCACACAAAGAACAGTACCTACATATGACAATACAAAAATATGCGTCAAAAGCAAGATATAACTCAGTTGGTTGGGTTCTTTCACCTCCATTCATGTGGGCAGATGTTCGAAAACCCTAGACATCCAATAAATATGTGTGTAAACCCCCTATACCCTAATGTACTAAAAAAATACATGCGTCAAAGCCTCAAAGCTTGCTAAAGATGTCAGTGGAGAGATAAACATGCAATTCTCACTTCGCTTTATATAAGCACATCAAATAGCCCATGAGGAGAGGACCAATGGTAAACAAAAATATGGAAGTTAAGAAAAAACGCATGCTAAGCAATTTGCTAAATATAAAACACTCTCTGGGCCCAAAAAGAAAAACATAATTAACTCACTAATTCAACTTTTTAAATTGAGAATATCTCTGGTAATAATGAAACAAATTATATAGAAAACAAACATTCAATATCTGTACGTTTCTTGGTCCTCTTCATAGTTTTGAATTGAACATGTTAGGGCCAACCTTAACAAGAAGAGCAATAGCATTTGAGCTTCCAGAACCCGAAGTGCCCCTGACATTTTCCTTCACGTGCGCCTTCCAGATATACACAATATGCCCCACAATCTGAAGATTTAAATCCCCAACAGCTTTTATGCCACGTTTTGCTTATACTCCAACAATCCTTTAAGGCCATCACTATTTCAAATATGATCATTAGGTTTTATACCTTCACAAGAGTACTAGTAAAACATAAACATGTCAATGAAATCCAACATTAATAAGGAAAATCATGCCTGGGGCTTATTCTTGAAAATAATTAGATAAATCGTAAATTATTAAAATATTGTGATAAAATAAATAGACGAGCATAATGTTTGTGATGGAGTACATCTTTGGTGTAGCTCTGCCTAGCTGGGTTGGGCCCCTAACAAAAAATTTGGTCAC